CCCCCAGTCGTAATATCGAAGTTTCGCCCCTGCTTGAGAGCCACATGCATTGTTAACAATCCAGGGCTAGACCACTGATTAAGGTTGTCCCCGAGCAAAGCGGAAATTGGAAGAGTCGAATACGACTACGAGCGCGAAAGACTGCTGGGAATCGCTAAAAATTCATTATTAAAATTCTGTATTAAATGTTTAATGAAAAGTTTAAAAGACAACTTTGGAACTTTATGGTTGATGCACATTGCACCCATTTTATTGTTGACCAGTCGATGAATCTTTCATTGTGGACCGGTTGCCGAACATGATACAGTTCTGACCAATCGGCGAACAGAAAAATTGAACTTTGACACCAACTATATAACAAATTTGGATGTTTACAGTATGCCATTATATCTGATTATCTTATGTACTTTGTCTTTGTTTCTAATGCTCCAGTCAATGTAACCCTCGGCACCCTAACCCCGGGCATTAGGCGGGGATTAGATATTTTTGTTTCTAATCAGAGCTAATGCCCCGCCATGCGGAGGCAGTTAAAATGGGCAAATGCCCCGGCCTGTGGAGCTTTCAGAACCTTTTAAACCAAATTCAATACAAAGTGAAATGCAACACTGCAATACCAAAAAGACAATTTAGTAAAAGTGCTTTATATTCATATTAAATATGGTTATATTTTAAAGTGTATATGAATTGCTTTTGTGTTTTTCTTGCCTATTGCCATAGTTAAATCATGAATATTGAAATATATTTAAACTGCCTTTAGATCATGCTTCAACACTCAATGCGTGCATTGTTGTTAAAATTTCCATGTGTATCACTGTCTTTATTTGTTTTAATACAAATTTTATATTAAATATTACAATATATAACAATAAAAAACAACTTTAATACCAAGGTATGTGTGAGCGAAGAAAGATCAAAATATATAAAAGAATATCGAAAATATCACACACAAACGTCAAGACAAAGCGTGTGGTTAAAGCGCTGAGCTGAAGCCAGTATAATAAGGGCTATAGATGAAGTATATACCTCAAATCCATGGTGTCAAATCCCCGCCAAACGCCCCGGTAATTCTAAACGAAAATCTAAACGAAGCAAATGCTCCGCTCATGGGGGCATTAATATAATAAAAAATAAACTGCAAATTTAATGCCCCGCGAATCCCCGCATAGCCCCGGGGTTGGGGAGCGGGGGTTTACATTGACTGGTGCATTATGTCTCTTATGGACCTTGTGCTGCATTTTTCGCAGTCGTTCCTGGTTAGATCTTTAAAATGTGTATATTATATACTCAAAAATTTTGGATTACAAACCCTAAAATCAGCATTCTATATACCGTTAATCAGTAGCATGTAATGTTTTGTGAAGATAAACCCTTTTGATGTATTACATCGCTGCTGTGGGACTGGTTCATCTGCATTGGTCTGCATGCTACTGGGTCCAAATCATAGAAACGTTAGACCTAACCTGCGATCAGGCTCTATTTTACAAATAATAGCCTGACACAATCCTTAATCCGATCACTTTCCACCCACAGCCAAGTTTATATTTAGTATTCAATCAAAATGTCGCAGGAGAAATTTAAATTTTACACAACGACAACAACAATCTAATTATAGTTGTGATTACTATAAATATATCAACGACAATATATAATGTAATTAGCACCAACCAATTAAATGACAGATTAAAAAATCTTTTGTCTTATAAACCAGTCTGATTTACAACCGAAATACGGTTGTAAAAACATGGACTTTTGTAAAGATTTGTATCAGGCTATATTTATTTATTTATAGGCCTGATCGCACGTTACATTAGACCTAGAATGCGTGCTTGGTCACATGACCGATGTCCCCATTGAAAACAAAAATGCCCTTATAAATCCGCCATGTTGGATTTGTCCAAGGAGCATTATTATGTGGCGAGATTAGTTTGCCCTTACGAATTGACCATTTTGAATAGTTAATGTGGCTTCACTTGTTTAACTGAGAAAGGATAGGAGCACACATTCTACTGGTTTAATTAATAATTCTATGATCCAAATGCATTGTCATGGGAAAATTGCCTAAATCAATAGTGTTATGGCAGAAGAAAAAAAGAATGTAGTTGTTACTACAGCCCGCGTGCAGGCCCAAGGGAACTGATAGTGGACCTGCAAGCAAGGCCCGGTATTTTGTAAAACGCCCCTTTTCATAACACGCCCCATTCGCGCGTCAATTGTCAAAAAAGAACCAATGACAGCACCCAAAAATTAACAAACAAACTCGCATTAAAATGTTGCGGGGTTTTCTCTGCTTATTGAGAACATAAGCAATGTGTAAATGGCTGCGTTTTAACTCCAAAAAAGCAAGCAACGCAGTCAGTAATTGCCAAATTTGCAAGTGCTCATTTTCAACTAAAATCGGAACAGGAAAATTAGGACGAATTTCAACAGAAAACCAGTCTCAAACTTCAAATCGTGAGGGAAGTCGTGCGACCACATTAGCATTTATAATGTGTGCTTCGCTGTTGCCATTGTTATAAATAAATTGTCTCACTTATCAGATCATGTGTGCAATTCTTGTTGGCGGCGGAAAGTACGAAGTTTATTTCAGTTATTTCATTTGGTAAAGAACTCTACAAAAGAAGAGAGCGTTCAGAGTCCAGATCGTTTCGTTTCAAACGGCAATTTAATACCGTCTTCTGTTTCGCTCTCTCAGCGAAGCCTTGTAAATCGCAAAGTGGTTCGAATAGGCTTAAATGCAACTGCATCTCAACATCAACCAAAAGATAATTTTCTTGAGGAACATATAACGTATCAAATCTGTTTGAAATTAATGAAACTCAAGTAAAGGTTACTATAGTTTACCCCAGTCGTAATGAGTGCTATTCCAACACCTCACGACAAGCAATCCCCATTGGCATAACGGCAAAAACATCTCTTCCTTCATGTAAACAATAAACAGTCTGTTCTTGTTCCATTTATAATCGAAAAAAGTGATCAATTTTCGAATTTTAAGCTTATCGAGAGCTTTGGTAATGAATCACTTATCTAATTATAGAATCTAACAGCAAACAGCCAATCAGAATGCCGCGTTCGTGGGCGAACGCGGAAAGTACAAAATACCGGGCCTTGCTTGCAGGCCCACTATCAAGTTCCCTTGAGCCTGCTCCCTTGGGCCTGCACGCGGGCTATTGTTACTATACCATAATGTCTATTACAGTCAAACCGGATGTTCTGTTCCCCTGAATATTGCAATATTGTTGGGAATATTGCAGTTTTGATTGCGAAATTGCTCTGAGCAAGTTCCAACCGACCTGGTCAAATTGCAAGTTGAAATTCACAACCATATTTGTAAACAAAGTCTCCGATTGGCTACTAGTAACAAAGAAGAACTGGTCAGTCAAATACTCTGAGCAAATGGATTGGTTCTTTTTTGCTACTAGTAGCTAATTATCAGAGACTTTGTTTACAAATCTATTTGTGAATTTCAAATTGCAATTTGATCACATCGGTTGAAACTTGCTCAGAGCAATCTCGCAATCAAAATTGCAATATTCCCAACAATATAGCAATATTCAGGGGGAACAGAACATCTGGTTTGGCTGTATAGTGATTTTAGTCTCTATAAATACATATGTTGTTGTATAGGCCTACTTATAATTAATGTACCTAGCCACAAGTATACTGTACTGTTAATACGATTATTTTTCAATGTTTGGATATTTTGAATGTATACCATGTTGCTAACCCATTGACGTTATTTTAGAGAAATTACAATTCTTATTGATATATTTTGCTTTTTGTAGAGCAATGTCTTTCCACTGTTCAACTTTTCCAGTTGTTGTAACAAAGACTACCAAAGTGATTCAAATAAATTGGTCGACCTAATGATGCCAGGCAAAGGGCGATTATAGTGAAATTTGTTGGTTATGAATCTAAACTAAAAGTCATGAGAGCAAAACGACGCCTTAGAGGAAAAAGGATATTTATCAATGAAGACCTCACGTGGCTAAATCAAAAGCTTCTCAAGCAAGTTCGTGAAGCGTGTAAAGGCTCGGCGTTAGTTTATACTGCTGACGGCTATGTTATGGTTAGATCTAGAAATGGTGAACCACCAGTTAGAGTAAGGAAGGTTGAAGACTTGGACATATTTGATGGTTACAATTACAATTTATTCAAAAACCGATCTTGCAGCCAAGAAGCTGAATTACAACGGTTACATTTTACAAAAGAAAGGTTTAAGTTAATTATACTATCTATTACTGCTTAAAAATACTAAACAAAATAAAATAATTGTAACTTTAAGTTAATGGGACTGTCTATTTCAATTAATTAAACTATCTATTAATGTATTTAAGAATATATAATTACAGTTAAAACTAACAGTTATTTTTGAAATATATAAAATCCTCAGTGACTGTTGCTTTAATTATTAGAACTAGCAGCAATTATAAAAGACTTTTTAAATCGTTCAGTCTTACATTTGGGAATTTTAAAAGTTCTCGAAGTTCTCAGGGAATACGCTACGTCAGTATTCGGATCTGGTAGGAGTGGGTGCAATTTGTGATTTTTATCTTCCATTATTTCTTTGAAGAGTTTGTCGCACGCAATTTGACGTCTCTCTTCAAGAGTTAGAAGCTTAGAATGGGAGAGCGCTTCGGCATATGATTTGGTTTTGGATATCATCGACCTCGGATTGAATATTACTATCCCCTCTTCTGGGTATTACCTCGGCTAAAGTCGTATCGTCTAAGTATTTCCAGAAGTTGTTACTGACTGTGTTGAGGTCATTGATCATAAGAATGTATAACCAAGGACCGAGTTTGGTTCCCTGGGGTACACCTGCCGGGACTAGGGACCATTCTGAATAGCAGTCATTGGCCAACTTTACTCTTTGTTGACGATTTGTCAAAAAATCTCTTACCCAATTTATAACACTCGGCGGAACGTCCAGAGAGTGGAGCTTTACCATAAGTAACTGATGATCGATGAGATCAAATGCTTTCCTAAAGTCCAATAGAACAAGTCTAACTAAGGCCCCGTTGCCATCAGTGGCTTTAGCAACATTGTGGACTATGCTAATAAGAGCTTGCGTGGTAGATGATTTCGGCACTGTTCCATATTGGTTAGGATCCACCACTTTGAAAATCACCGGTTTAATGAACTGTTCAACTACCACTTCCTCGGCTAGTTTTGAGACTATTGGTGTTAACGAAACGGGCCTTAAATCCTTGTTTACAGTTCGTACAGGCTTCTGTTTTGGAATGGGAATTACATCTGCGAACTTCCAAGCAGCGGGTAAACGATTTTCGAGATAAGAAGAATTGAGAATCTTGCAAACGGGACTTGTTAGTACATCGGCATTCTCTTTGAGAAGCCAACCAGGAATAGTGTCTGGGCAATGAGCCTTCGTAGGTACTATACTGGATAATTTCTCGAAAATATACGATTCTGT